CCCGTCATTCTTGCTGTACGTATATATATACGCGTGTAGACGGATAGGTTGTGGATGGAGAGGAACGTACACATTAAACTTGCATCCTCCAATTCTATCTGAGTCATGTAAAAAAACTAACTACAATAACAAATAAGATCCACCACATCATATATATATATATATATATATATATATATATCATACACATCTGAATCCGGACTGCGTGCCAAATAAATCACAGTGTAATAATCTTTGTAAAAAACAGAAAAAGGTTCATGATTAGTTTGTGGGTAGAATACTACCGGGTTGTCCAGACCAAGGCAGTCGAATTTTCTTGTTGAATTACCAACCGGAGCCTTTGGCTAGTCAAAGCATGACCTGTCGGAAAACGGAGCGGTGTCGGTGAAAACCGCCATCCTTTGGCTGATCGGTGTCCAGCTCATCGGATCATAAGCTCCTTGCCCGATTAACCTCGATACCTAATCAAGCCGGTGATCGGTGGCCACAACCAAGGCATGGGTAACCGTGATTCGTAAGCGTGTTCGTAGTTGATATGGCATCAGGGTTTCAAATCAACTGCGCTAGATGAACTGCCAGTGATTCACCGACCCGATTATAGCCCCGGATATTGACTTCTCACTTTGGTGCGGGAAAACACCTCCACCACGGGAAGGCAATAAGTAGAGCTTCCTCATAAGAGGCTGTTTGAGACGATTGGTGATACAGGGACATTTCATGAGGTGCAACGGAAGGGTAACCAGCCAGAACTCGGGACAACCACCCACGACCATACCGAGGCTTTCGGAGACCGGGTACATCGTAGAATAATACTAATCAGCATACACTTTTTAGCCCCGTCCGTGTTCCTCGTTCCCACTCCATTCAATGTTACTCATTGTTCTATCAATCGATTGATTAATAATTCGATCAATAATTTCAAGAGGTTTCACTCTTATCCTTTCTCCGTGTATATATATATATATCACTCTGATTTTTCAGCGCTTCTTTTTCGTCCGCTGGGGACAATGAGTGCAGGCCATAGGAGATAGGCGTGCATATGGCCAAAAAACTGGATGTCCTAGACACTCGTGCGTCTTGCCTCATACGTGTTTGAATGAGGCAACGATAAGCGACAACGAACGTTGAGGTCACATAAATCGAATAGTACGCGTAAGGTGAATGGCTAAAAGATAGAATAATTTCGTATTTTTGTTGTTGTTAATAAACAAGCAAACAAAAACAAAAAAGAATAATCGAATGAACTACGATGAAATTGCTCATTACTATGGTTGATTTAGTTAGTACATATTGTTGTATCAAGAAAATCAGAAGGGATTAACCCCCACATGCATACTATTCTGTCATCCATTATTGATAACCAGTTACCTAAACCTGGTAACTAGTAACAGTGAATTAAACAAAACCACGATTGGGGTCAATCTGGTGTTTAACCGGATTGCTGTGAGGTTGTCTACGACCAAGGTTGACTAGTGGCCATGGTTCGAAACTGGAACCTTAAGGCCTAAAACACACCAGCTACAGTGATCTAAGAAGCTAGACCATCACCATCACCACCACCACCACCACCACCACCATCAATATCGTGAACACCACAACCCCCGAAACTGGAGAAAATAGAATATCTCTTATCCCAAGTCGTGATAGTTTGTTCTCTTAACCATTCCTGCATGAGCAAAATGATAAGATTCCATAAAAAGCATTTTTTGGTGTGTAAGTTAATATCTGTTTTTTTTTTCTACCTCTCCCCACCCCACCCCCCATTGCATTGCATTCTCGTTCGCGTTCCCATCACAGATCCCGCTTGATCGTGAGACATTAAGCAGTGTGACCTTGGTCGTCTTGGTGACCGATTCAAAACTGCCTCCGGTGTTCACAGCCACAACCACGGTCTCTATTGAAGTGTTGGATGAGAACGACAACGCACCGATATTTATCAATCCACCCGCGGACCCGATCGTGAACGCGGGAAGTTCGCGGGGCCGAAAAACGTCCAAATCGTTCACAGTAATGGAGAATGCCCCACGTTTCACGCGACTCAGTGAACAGTTGGAAGCTCGAGATCCGGACCAGGTATGTGCGTGCGCTTTGCCGGTGCCACTGTGTAAAGTACATTTCTTTTGGACTCCAAAGCAGATCCAAGGTCAAGTATCTAGGGTTTTATTATTTTACTTGTCTGTGTTCAAGATATATATATATATATATTACAAGTCTGAGGTCAGACTGTGGGCCAAACAAATCACAGTACAATAATCTTTATGAATAGAAAGTTCCATGAGTCCTCTTGAGGATGCCCCACTCGCTAACTTCCCGTCGCGGAGGTGTTTTCCCACCAAAGTGAGGGGACGAAAAGCCAATATTCGGGACTATAATCAGGTTTGTGAATCACTGGCAATTTATCTAAGGGGGTTGGGAGGAAACCCTGATTCCAAAACAACCAAGAGGATGTGTACAAGCCACACACACACACCGTCACCAGAAATCACCTCCGATTCTGTTCTACTTTTCGAACTCCCAAAGTGATAACACTAATCTGACCAATTGAATGAGGCCCACAAATAAGGGCCTTCGTATCACCAGTTGTGGTCATAGCCACCTTAAAACTACTACTACTACTACCACCACCAAACGGTTTGGATAGAACATAGGCAGCCATATGGACACCTAAGGCGTCCAGAACAACCTGCAACCGACCTGGATCACTCACTCAGCTGTACAGTGTCGTCTGCTTACACCGGGATTGAACAAAATACCACCTCGGAGAATATGGTCCGTTTTATGTCCACTCATAAAGTGCATATTTATGATCAATGGGCGTCATCTTATCAACGTGCTGACAGCACTTAATGTTGCGAATGTTGGGCAGAGTTTGCGAGAAATCATTTTGAATATGGGACACTAAAAAGGGGAAGCAGAAAATGTC